GTGTTTCAGGATGTATTCTATTCTGGGTTAGGGTTTTTGTATTGCAGGGTATTGTTTACCTCCAAACTCATTGTTCTCGGCTATTATTTTATTGTCTTATGATCGTGGCTCAGGTACCCTGCAACACCAAGAAAGAGCCCAAATTTTCTTTCAAAATTTCGTTTCTTTTTTTTATTTCTATTTGTGACGGAAGCTAATTTTTTTCTTTTCTTGTATTGTAGAAAAAAGAGCAGGAATAAGGTATTTGGTTGTTTATTTATTTGCTAAATTTGCTTGTTTCTTAATTATATTATTGTTCGTTCTTGCGCATCGATTCTTTCCTTTGTTTGTTTTCATGTTGTTACTTTAGAAACTTATCAAGCATACAAGACAAGAACCCTGAAGCTTATGAGGTAGTGTGTCCTTTGTTTTGTTTGAAGCGCTGCGATCAAACCTATGATAACGGAACTTTGCCAGCCATAGATCCATTAAAAAACCTATCGTGGTTACGAATATAAAGTCGGATACAGAATCAAAATCTTATATCAACTGATTTGCTGTGTATTATTTTTAGCATTCCCAGCGTATAATAACGAATGTTTGCATACAGATCGCAAAACAACATATATTTGCTTGTTTTTGTAAAATAACAAATGCGTCGTATTGTTTAGAATGTCCATCCAATGGAAGACACCTCACAAGGCATGACAACAAAAACAGCGCGAACGCCAAATGCTGAAAAGGAGCTTTATGAAACGATAAACGAAACCAGAGACAAAGACAGCGCTGCAATAGCAACAACTGTGAAACATACGCGTGGGCCTTCTGCCGGCGTCCAAGGTAACGCACCTTCATTGCCGCAACATTACCAAGAGCTTCAAAGAAAGGCACCTAATCCGACCCCGCTGTATGAGCCTCTCAAGCAGCAAGGCTTTCGTAACAAAGGAGAGTTAGCTCCAGAAGATCCAAAGACGTACGAACATCTGCAACAGAGTGCATCAGGAAGAGAATACCAGTCATTGAAGAGTTATAAGGATACCGAGAGTAAAGTGTGACGCAATATCTCTACAGTTTAAATAATTATTCAAAAGCTACTAAATAAACAAATCTACTCGAGTTTTGATATTAAAATTGCTGCAGCGCTACCACGTGTCAACATCAATTTCTAGCTGGCTTTATTTTCTAATCATTCAAAGGTAAAAATGCTGCAACTGAATGGGAATACATATTCTTAATACATATTCTTAATTCTTAATGATTTGCGCCACTGAATACTTTCTTATTCATACTCATGTGGAAAACAAAATAAATATATATTTCAGTTCATTGTGGTTGTATTCACTTTTAGAACTTTTTCCGCTTATGTTACAGCGCACTAAATAAACCGCCATAATAAATGCGCAATGTGTCACTCTCGACCCAAGAACTCCGTCATTCATCCTTTTGACAAAGCGACAATGCCGCTCATTCTTAATGCGCATGGTCAATAACATGTCACAGATCCAAAAAAAATAGTCATCAATAAACAGTTAATTCGAATTTTTAAAATTAAATTTCAACGCTGTTTTTAGTGTCAGCTGTAAGAATACCAGAAAGGCTCTTGGGTCTTTCTGGCACGAAGTTTGACAAGACCACGTAAAAAAAAAGAAAAGCAGAGCGGATCCGTAGTTTTAATGCCATCATTAGTCACGCAGCCGAAGCAATTATTGTCGAGTGACAAACAAATTATATTCAACGGGTAAAAAGGTTAACTTTGTTGACATTAATTTGCGAATAGATGAGTACGCGAAAGAGGTAGCATCAGGTGGTATATATCAAAAGTACTCCTGATCTCGATTCATGTCTATATAACAAGATCTATTCAGATTACTTCTTCACTTACACCCCTTATATTTGTATTTCCTGATGTTTTGTGGATTCTTCTTGTGTTTGTTGGGCATCACTGTTGGAATACTTCCGCTTATTGGTTAGTGACATCCACTTCTTCTGCTTACCATATATCGAAAGTGCAATCCGTTCATTTACAATCTAAATGAGTGATTTGATGATAAACCTAATCAATGGAACTTTAAAAAAGGACTTGATTGTTTTGATGGGTATTAAAAAAACAGTAAATTAAGAACATCTTCAACTGAAATAAAAGTTACTTTTGATGTCGTAAATGATGAATACCTTTCGCTATAATTAAATATCACTCTTCCTGATGGAATATAAGTATGTTATAAGGCAAATAGACTGTATTTCGTGTCGTTATATTTTAGTATTTATTACCATTATAAATCCTAAACCTCGATTGTTTAAAAATCACTCAATTTCAGTCATCGGTAATACGTGACATGGCCTTGGACTCCTGGAGTCACGTGATCTTTCTTGGTGATTTGAAAAGTAAAATCTTCTAGTTCGTATTTGCCCTATAACGTTTTCAAGACTACCATAGAAGATTTAATTAAGAAAATATATTTATTTTAGGGCAATGTGTAAAGCCCTTTCACGGGTGAGTGGGTTATTTACTTGAACGGAAAAAGATAAATCATCGAAGCTAATACCGAGGGTAATTTGGGTCACCAGTCGAATGAATCTAACAATTCGCTTATAGTGGCTTTGCTAAACACGTGCCGGTACCATTAATACATTTTGGACTGCCTTAGGTTAGATGGCAGAACGATATGTAAAACCCCTTTAACTCTCGTGAATTGAATTCTTTCTCATATATGTAAAACGACTGCAATTTTCAGTCCTGCCATCTAACATGGCTGACGTCAAGTGATGGTGCAAAACCTCTTTTCAAGTTTTGAGGCTCTCACAAAGCATTCAAACTCATCTTACATGTGTGTACGACAATTTCTCCAAATGACCAGGATGTCGACCAGGTTCATTACACCTCTGTCGTACCTTGGATGGTTTGACCTTTTCAGCTAGACTTTTTTTTAATCTGTTGTATCCAGATTTTGTTGCAAACTAGTTTTGTTCATTAAAAGTGCGCGAAGCAAAATGAAAATATTTATAATAATCTTGAAATGCCTTAATTTACTTTAGATGGAGCTGTGAGATTTACTCAATTTCCACCACCTATCTTGTATGTGTCTAGTGGTAGAACTGCAAAGTTTGTCTGGGATTACCATGTCGATGACCGAAAAAATGAGCTTTTTACATCGTCACCAGAATGGTATTACAATAATAGCATTAACGAAAGTAAAATTGCTGCTGAAAACTATGGCTTTGTAAATGGAAGATTTCAATGGATATGGTCTGTATCACCATCATGTCCAGGAAAGCTGAGACCTCGACTCAGCAAGGAATCTGTTGCTACTCTGGTCATCTCAAATGTGAATACACTCGATAATGGGAACTATTCTTGCGAACTGGTTTTAAATAAGGGTCAGAGCCCAAGAAGCGAAACAGAGCTAATAGTAACAGGTATGATAAATACAGTCTAAATCTGGTTTGGCAATTCATCATAACGTGGAAAAGTTCTTAATATTTGATAATTAATATATTAATTAATTTAACTATTCATGGAGATGAAGAAAAAGATTGCTGAAAAAAAAAAAAAAAAACTACAACAACAACAACAAAAAAGAACACATAAGTAAAAAGCACACGCACGTGTACTAAATATGTCGGTAAAGCTGTAAACCTACAGATAAATTAATATCATCATATTGATTAATATCATTTTGACATTTTTCCCCTTCCAGTGCGCCCAAAATTCAGCATCAATCCACCATCCTCCGTAGTTATATCCGAAACATCGAATCTAGGTGTATCTTGTGCAGCAACGGGACAACCAACGCCTAACATAGCTTGGGTAACATTACGGGATAGGGCAATCATAAGCCGAGGAGTAGGAAGTGCCACATTGAGCATACCGACAATTAGAAGGGATCAGAATGGAACTTATGAATGTCAAGCTACCAACAACCCAAATGAGCGTCCACTTTCTGCGCGGACTAATGTTGATGTTCAGTGTAAGTATAGCGCTTGATATTGTTTAGCCGCATATAAGGGCTTCTTAACCGATATTCACTTATGTCTTTATTTCTTACAAAGAAACTTCAGATAATTTTGAAAGCCGGTGTTAAGTGCACACAAGAAAACCATAGAACGTACAAGTACTGCTTAGTACAAGACTGGATAGTTTGTATAGTACATAACCTATATCGGTGAAACGCTTTGTAAGAAATTGCACAGAGTTTACACAAATTAGTAAGTTTAGTAGACTTCAGAAGACCTACAAAACTTCGCACTAATTTTTACAATTGTTTGGGTTTTAACTTYATTGAGGACATACATGTTTTCAGGCTAACAGTAGCCATGGAAGGATTCGGTACGTTTTTTGATTATTTAGTATTTTTTAATTATTTTGTCTGCATTGAAGTCATCCAATTACACTTTAAAAAAATGTCAACTGAGAGACACTTATTTTACACAAATATTTTACAAGGTCTGGTTTTATATTTTATTTTTCGTCTTTTTGTGGTCTTCTGTTAATTTCCAATATCTAATGGTTTAGATGCCCCATCCATCACTACCAGACCAAAGGACATTGTTGTTACTAAAGGTGATCAAATCGTTCTGACTTGTCGTGCAAGCGGGAACCCTTCACCTTCGATTTCCTGGTCAAAAGAGAGCGGAACCATAAGACCAGGACATACAGCTTCTGGTAATACTCTAGTAATCCCTGATTCTGTCAAGACTGATGCTGGCAAGTACATCTGTAAGGCCAGTAATGTTTACGAAATGGCAACTCACACAGCAGTGGCTTCGGGATATGTTACTGTAAAATGTAAGCCAAAAATGTATATKATTATATTGATAAATATCATAGCTTTTACTTTTTAGTTGTGTGTGGCGTGCTATATTAGATAATTTAGCTTGYGCGCTTGCCGCGTGTGTATTTTTTTGGTTCGTCATTCGAATCGGGATTAACGTTACTCTTCAGGTTAGCATTTTATTTTTAAAAAAATTGTTTGCTCTTTTATGCGCAGATGGCTATAAAACAATACAAAGGTTTATGGAAARGCGATAATTATTCAGAGAGGAGTCCCCGCAATTCTTCATTGTTCTCCATCCAAGCTGCATAACTGCTCAATTTACTCTATTTTCGCTCATGATTAGCTTGACATTAGTTATAGGAAAACACTGCGTACATTTTTTTATTTTTTATTTATTTTTACATTGCAAAACTAGATCAACCAACAATTTTGTCAAAGTCCCAAAACCAGATCATCAACGAGACAGACCTTCTTCGTCTGACATGTAAAGCAGATGGATACCCAGCACCAAACATCACGTGGACCAAGTCCTCAGGATCTATTACATCTTCCGTCAGTCTTATAGGCAACGAGTACCATATTCAGTCAGCAAAGAGATCAGATACAGGGACATACACGTGTACAGCTAGTAACGGCATAGGAAGAGAAGCAATGGCCAGTATACAAGTTACTGTGCAATGTGAGTAATTGGTTGCCTTCTTGC